TATATATATATATATATATATATCCCATGATCATATCAATTTGCATGTTAAATTTAGCAAATGGCACCCAACCTTATTTATTTATTGTTTTTTAGGGCATTTTTTACCCAATTGTGTGTAAAATCATTTTTAGCAGGATGCTAGATGCTTAAAAATGCTGACATTACTTCGGGTTCATTCATCATACCGAAAACGGAAGGTCAAAAATAAAGTGCACTGCATTGTGGGATACAGTACCCTACATAAGCACTGTTGTATACTGAACATTTTAGTAGCCTATATCTAGTACTGTAGGTCAGAGAAAAAAAAATCACATTATGTACAGTATACGCACTACATACTGCAGCAACATTAAGAGCAGAATGCTACTATGCTATTTCGAACACAACCCCATTTTTACATGCAAATGAAGAAGCAAGTTTATTGGTCACACTGCCATTATATCAGATACAGTGACACTCCTTTACTGTCCCTTGAGAACTAAATTTCACTTCATGTCTTATATACAGTATGCAACAACCCATTCATTCAAAGTGCAGACAGCCTGTGCTGCAGAAGAAGTCATGAATGTTGCCTTTCATGAGCGCTTTAGTTCCCTGCTACACCTCATATGCAGAAAACCTACAGGCTGGAGAACTCAATATCATCTCCGAAACCTTGTTTTAAGGCTGTTAGAGTTTCATTTATCAGCTCGAATCTGTGATCCCACAGAGAAGCACAGCAGTCCTCCAACAGATTGCATCGATTTCACACGCGCACATACAAGAAAAGCACACATAAATTGGTATTTCAAAGCAACTTACCCCTGTACTAGGCGGCAGGCAGGGCTGTGATTTGGGACAAGCTCGGGAGCTTATGTAGGACTGAGTGCACAGCATTTCTCAAGAGTTGAGTGAACATAAAACATAAACGCAAGTATCTGCCGGGGAGCAGCGAGCTTCCTCTCTCTCTGTCTCTCTGCCGAGCTCAAATGAGGTAATTAGAGAGAGCGGCTCAGTGCAGCCTCCGCTGCTGCATGTCACCATGGTTCTGTCCAATCACCTGCCATTGTTTATCCGGCAGGGGTGAATCCCGCTCGTCTGCCCCCCCCCACACAACACCGGAGGGGGAGGGAGGCAGAAAAGTCACAAGATTTGCCCCACCTACCTATTCACACAGTCTTGACAGGCCCCTGCCCTTCACATAAATCCCAGCAAGCAATTAGAAAACCGCTGGCTAAACGCGAGACCCGACGGGTCAACCCCGACTGCCATTAAGCACAATGTTATCTATACACTGTATCTAATTTGCATATTAAAGTGCTGTTGGGACAGCATGTTGAAAAAAGAAGTGTAATAATGGGAGTAGTAATTGGCCAGATTTTCATAATATCTAATATTTCATAAAAATGTTGATACATAATTTGTTTTCCTATTCAATTCTTGTCTCCCAAAATGTATAATAAACATGCTTTTAGTCCTGGTGTCCTCTACAGTGGACATGTATGAAATGATGTCCTGTTTCGTAACAGAAGGTCATATTTTGATTTGAAACCCCATAACATTTTCCTGAGATGTTGATTTATGACAAACAATTTGAAAATTAATCAGATTTAAATTATAATTACAAAATATATTTTTCCATAAGGATGTAGCATTTCTCAAGAGTTGAGTGAACATAAAACATAAACGCAAGTATCTGCCGGGGAGCAGCGAGCTTCCTCTCTCTCTGTCTCTCTGCCGAGCTCAAATGAGGTAATTAGAGAGAGCGGCTCAGTGCAGCCTCCGCTGCTGCATGTCACCATGGTTCTGTCCAATCACCTGCCATTGTTTATCCGGCAGGGGTGAATCCCGCTCGTCTGCCCCCCACACACACACACCGGAGGGGGAGGGAGGCAGAAAAGTCACAAGATTTGCCCCACCTACCTATTCACACAGTCTTGACAGGCCCCTGCCCTTCACATAAATCCCAGCAAGCAATTAGAAAACCGCTGGCTAAACGCGAGACCCGACGGGTCAACCCCGACTGAAAGGTGAAGGGCGAGAGAGAGCGAGAAAGTGAGAGTCACTTCTGATATGCAGTACATGTTCATGTCCTCACCATGTATGTCATGAAATCATATTAATTTGTTCAATTTAATCACAACATTACAGGTACAGTGCATACAAAAATAAATTATGTTATTATTTACTCACCCCTGTATCGTTTCAAACCTGTATGCTGTTGAAAAAATGTCTCCCTCTTTGCTGTACAGTGTTATTTTACTATTATTTATATACATTATAGTATTTTGAAATATTCTGAATTAGCTTTATTTATATTTCCAGTAAATTTTAATTTTGGTTTAAGTTTTAGTAATTTTGTTATGTGCTTTTGTCATTTTTATTTTTTTATTTTTTTTTAACATTAACATTAGCTTTAATTTAGTTTTATTTGTCATTTTTACTGAAACTAAAAGTTTTGTTCATATTTAGATGTTCATATTTTAAAATGATGTTTCAAACCTGTAAGCTATTGAAATAAATTCCTCCCCCTTTTTTGTGAAGTGTTATTTTAGTATCTTTTATATACTAGGCTAATAATATTTATTACTATCCTGAATTAGCTTAAATTTTGACATGTTCAGTTTTCAATTGATTTTAGTTTTAGTAATTTTGCAATGTACTTTTGTTGTTTTTTTTCTATTTAGCTTTATTTGTATTTTTTAGTTTTACTTGTAATTTTGGTACAAAATAAAGTCAAATTTTTGTTAATTTTTTTCACGTTAATCTATTTATATTTTACTTTATTTCAGTTACCGAATTTTTTTTTTAATGGTTTTAGGTTTACTTAATGATAACAAATCTGTTGCTGTAGCGCTTAGTTAAGATAAGTTTAGATGAAAAAAAATAAATGCATGTATTGCAACAAAGAGGATTTGAGAGTTGCAGCAGAGGAGAAGATTTTCAGTAATTAATTTCAGTATTATTTAGAGTCTTTTTGTCACATGTCTTCAGAAGTCTTGGAATAAAGCACACAAGCCACATTTTAAGGTGCTGCTTTGTCTTTTTTGGAGTCCCAATCAATGCAGATCTGCAGGAAAAAACACAGCATACAGGTTTGGATCGACATGAAGGTAAATAAATAATGACAGAACTGGAGGTACACTGAACACAGGGATTCATTTTTTCCTTTCCCCGCTTTCCATTCTGTCAGTCTTTTGCAAAAATCTTTTTAACTAACAAACGCCAGTTCCTAAATGACATCATTCCCCAAGAAGTGACATCATTCTGGTGGGAAAACAACAGCACAGACTTCAATAAGCCACTCCACCCTGTCTGATCAAATTATACAAATCAGCTTGATAATATCAACATTTCAGAAGGTAGGTAAAAGCTTTAACTCTCAATGAACATTCTGAGAATTGTCTTGTCATTGTGTAAACAATAGTCATATTTCATTAAGTCTAATATACCCTTTTATCGAAATACTTCCTTAAATTACAAGACAAAGCATATACATTTCTTCAAAGTTACAGAGTTAAAAGGGTCTGCACAGCAGGAATGACCCTGTAAGGTATATGGGCAGAGCGATAGATGGGGGTTGACAGAGTGTGTGTGAAAGGCAGATTGGTAGGGAGGACACGCCAGTCCTCTTTCAAAGAGGAAAAGGAGGTCAGTGCTCCCCAGCAGGGCCGGGGTTAGCAAGCCTTTCAGCCAATCACAGCCTCCCACAGTGACATCATCTACAAATGAGGTAAACGATCCACTGTTTAATCAGTAAGAGAGACCTACAAGACACAAAAAATACAGAGGAGGAGGAAAACCCCTCGCTAGGACCGGCTCTATAAATCTCCCTGACAAGCATTTACCAGACCTAACCTTTTAAAGTCACAAGGTAGTAAAACGAGCAGGATTCTCGCTGCTCCCTTATCAGAGTAAATATAAACAGTCCTTAAAGGTAAATAAGTAATGAGTACAGTGTGTTACGACCCTGGTCTAGGGTCAGGGAAAATAACATAAATAAAGAAGTCTGAAACCGCTGTTACCTTGTGCTGGTGAGTTTATTTTTCCTTTTTAAGTCTCATTTGCAGCATCACCGTTAAAAGGCTATGTCTTTGGGATTGGGCAGGGCCAAAACAACAAACAAAACATATCACTAACTGGACCCAAGACTCTAACTAGCCTATGTGAAAGAAAAGAAAACAAATGACAGCATTCTTCCCTAACTCCCTATCTAAAGCAAAAAACAGGAAAAAACGATATTTACAATAAAGAAAACCGGCACCCAATCCCTACAGCCTTCATGGTGGAGAGGCACGCTATCCACAATATTTGCAAAATACAGAATAGCGGCATACTCGCCAGCTTAACTTAACAGAAATAACAAGGAAAGAAAATTAACTAAATGGCTTAAACAACCAAAACAGTAGGTAACATAAAATAATAAAGGACTAAGTAATCACGAGAATGCACAACAAGATTCTCAACACCAAGAAAGAAAAAGCCCCACGCTAGGCTATAACGAGACGCAATGCACAACACACACAACACTACCAACAGCTCTGCTCTCTCTGGCCTCTGCCTCCTCCCGTCCCACTATTTCAAAAGATGCTGGATCTCCAGGGACGAATCAGCAGATATGTCTTTTACGTCCAATTAGGGCGGAGTCACCTAAGAGAGAGAAAAAGAGAGAGAAAAAGAGAGACTACGTCCCCAGACGTAACAAGTGTGTTACAAGAGGAAATGTGAAATTTAAATACACTGGTTACATCTGCTGGATGTTTGAAAAGAAACTCAGACCCATTTAAAGGAATAGTTCACCCAAAAATGAACATTTGCTAAGAATTTACTCACCCTTAGGCCATCCGAGATTGTTTCTACATGGGAACAGATTTGGAGAAATGTAGCATGAGACCACTTGCTCAGCAATGGATCCTCTGCAGTGAATGGGTGCCGTCAGAATGAGAGTCCAAACAGCTGATAGGACAATAATATTATTAGTACTATTTATTGTACCTACAAATTATTTATATCACATACAAATAAAATATAAATAAATATATTCTATAAATACATAAATTATTATATTATATCATATCATATCATATTAAAATAAATTTAATATACTTTTGAACAAAATGAGGAACAAATACTTTCAAATGTTACCAAACTTTTCACTTGAAGTGTTCACCTAGTTCAGGGGTAGGCAAGTTCGGTCCTAGAGAGCCGCAGTCCTGCAGTGTTCAGCTCCAACCCTAATCAAACACACCTGAACAAGCTAATCAATGTCTTCAGGATTACTAAGGCTATAGGCAGGTGAGTTTTGTTTTCAGGGTTGGAGCTGAACTCTGCCTGCAGGACTCTCTCTAGGACCGAACTTGCCTACCCCTGACCTAGTTATATGCAACAGGAAATTATCACTGACGGTCAGATGACCAACTGAGATTTTGTTTTGCTTTATTGCCCCATCACAGCTCCAGTGAGGTGAAAATAAAGCCAGAAAAGAGACAAAAAGTTGCTCTAGAACTGCAATTTGCAGTCGCACAACTGAGAAAATACAGTACGTTAATGTTCAACCTTGTCAAAAATCTCTAAAATCTCTCCCATAACCAATAAATGTAACGTTTCTGTAAATAACACATAAATATTAAACGTTCATACCCTTTTTGGCAGGCAGAGAGGCGTGATAGTGGGCAACGTGACTCTTCTGGCGTGGAAATTCATACCGTTGTCCTCAGCCTGGATCTCTTCTGTGCACCTTCAGATCTGCCGTTTCTCTGAGTGACGTTTGTTGTTAATAAACAGCTGTAGCCGAGAAGTTAGCGAACGTTAATGTCTGCTCTTTTATGATAAGACTCTGGAGTCTGTCTTCCTTCCAGGGACGACGTCCGTGTGAGACTCGGCGTGAGATGCGTCCTCCTCTAGACTCATCCTTCTGTGGCCTTGGGAACTCGCTCAGTGTTTTTTTCCCTGCAGAAAAAGCTCCCT